CCTTGCATTCCTGTCCTTGTGAGTGACTGACCCTTTCCATCCCCAAATCTCTGCACAGCTCTGCTTAGCTTCAGAGAAAGGAGAAGCCCTGAAGTAAAAAAGGGGAGAAGAGGCCTGGGACCCTAGGGACAGGCAGGGCTGGCAGGGGTAAGGTCACTGGTGTAGGTGGGAGAGCAGGTGTAGGAGCCCTGCTGGCACCAGAGGGAAAACATCTGGAACACAACAACACACATCAGCTCCATTTACCCTCTCCCCCTGCCTCTCTGCACTTCCCTCCAGCTGCTGCCCAGGCTTTGCCTCCTCTTTAGCATCAACACAAGCCACAAGCAACGTCTGCTACAGCCCCAGACCTTCCTAACCAACCAGCTGCTTGCACATCTGGGATGTTGCTTACACCTGGTCTCCTGTCTCCACCACCTCCTCCCACAATAATCCTCTTCAAGATAAACACCTCCTTGCACTGTCTCCCTCTCCCCCAGAGTGCTCACAGTCAGCCTTTCAAGACTGGATTCCTTTGCTCTGGAGGGTATTTTCTGCCTGTTGCAGGGCAGGTCAGCTGGATCTCAATGCCTGGGTGGCCAGTTCCCACCTCCAGACTGGTCTCCATCTGTTATCCCTTCACCTCACCCAACTTCAGGCAGGACAGCAACAACCTACTGATCCCAGGTTTGACCTGGCACTTGGGATCCTCAGTCTCCTTCTGGAGGAGCCCATCTCTCTCCTACACCTAGAAAAGAAGCTGGAAAACTTGCCACACCACCACACCCACCAGCAGCACATCCTTAGAGTGAGGCTGATTGAATTCAGGCACCAGAGACATTCACACCCCACACTGCCAAGCCTTCACCCCACTTACAAGCCCACTTTGGGTGCAGATCCTGAAGGAGAAAGCTGCTAGCTGGAGTTTAAACACAAAAAAAAGCCAAAGCAAACCATGCTCAGATGGGCTGGTAGGTCCTGTGGGTTCCTCTGCTGACTGTTTCTTCCATGGAGGGGAGATGGGCACATCCTGGGAAGCTCTGTGGGCAATGCCAACCATCTCTCACACAGAGCTGGGGCTGAAAGACCAGTGTGTGCTGGTACAGCCAGGCTCTTGGCTTGTCCCTGAGGTGACTCAACAAAAAGCAAGCCAGATTTTATGCAGAGGAGAAGGCCTCTGTTTGTGTTGGCCTGGGGCTCCGAGGCTGGAAATGTTACTGGTTGGAAGGGATGCAGGGAGAGGTGTGTGGATGAAGCTGTCCAGGAGAGGCAGAGCAGTCACTTTCTTTATTGTCCACAAGAGGAAAGGATAGTGTGAGCATTTCCATAGAGACAGTGCAGCAGAAAGCCAACAGATGGAGAGAGGAAATCTGAGGCAAATCCAACAGAAGCTGAAGCTCATTCTTATTCCTAGATCTGGAGGCTCAAACTGTGCAATCTTTATTTTATTCAGGGCCTCTGTGTTTGCCCTGCATGGAAAAGCTGCAGGTTTTGGGGCTGCAAACAGCCTGGATTCACCTCTCAAGCCCCAGAGCCAGGACACACCTTGATAGCAGCAAAATGTGGCAGCCCTGCCCAACACCACCTCCCTGCCTCCCTCACCCACCACACTGCTGCCCTGACTGGTCAACACAGCTCTGCTGTTGCCAGATCCCACAGCTGAGAGGTCACACAAGACAGCTGAGCTCCAGGGCACCTTTGGGAATGTAAGTCAGACTCCTTTGCACACACAAAAGACAGTTCATGGAGTGGATGCTGCTGAAAACCAACTGAGAGGGAGAAAAGTAATTCTTTTTCACTCACATCCAAGGGGCAAGGATCGTAGTGAAGGGGAGAGATGTGTGGACCTGGTGTATGTCAGCTGAAAATGCAGCACAGCTAGAGAGTTGAGATTTCTCTCTTTAAACACCCTTTGTGCTAAAGCTGTAAGTGGTTCTGAGCAGATTAATCAGCTGGTCAAGAGCAACGTGTCTGTGAGGACCCCCTGGTGAGGACCCCAGACCCAAAACCCAGCATCTGAAGCCAGCCAAGGGGATCTCCCTACCTCTCAGGCACACGGACCGGGAGGAGGTGAACAGGAACAGGGCCAGGAGGCTGACAGGCTCCTTGGGGTCAAACCCTAGGAAAGAAAGCAACAGGTTATGTTCAGGCTGAGGGTGTCCCCCCTTCCTCCCCTCTCTGTCTCTAAAACAGAGCAGTATGTTTAAGCAGAGATGTTGGCTTCTAGGGAGCCACGTCTTACCCTCATCTCGTGCCAGGGCAGAGGACGTGAGGAGGATAAGGACTCCTTGGTCTTGTAAATATTTGATGATTGCCTACATCAAACACAGACAAAGTTAGAGCAGCCACTCCCTTCCCTCCTCAGCACACTTTGCATTGCTCAGCAGGACTGTCCACCAGCACTGACTGCCAGGGAAGGTGTTGCCAACACCACCACCTCTGTTCAGGAGGACACTGTTTGGTCCATGTCACTCGGGTCAAGTAGTGTCATTCAGCTCTCAAATTCCTCCCATCTCTTCCTTAAAAAATGAACTGGCTGTAATTAATGAACAAGGTTAATCATTTTACTCCCTTCAGTTCAAAAGCTCCTGGGCATCTCAGCCAGGAATTGGTTCCTGTAGTGCAAGTGTAGAAGGTTGTTTTCCCAGCAAGGAAAGCAAACCTGGGCACCAACATCTGACAATACACAAGGGACTGTTCCTGACTGAAGTCCAGGCCATGCAGTTTGCTTTTTAGCAGCATCAGTATCAATGAACACATGAAAAACACTTGCTGAGTCTAAGAGACTCTGTCTCCAAGCTGGATGACTGCATGTCTTAACAAGATCTCTGCATTTATGGAGGCTTTTTTTGTGTGTTTGGGTGTTGCTTGATGCCTCATGGCAGAGCTTGGCTTGGCCTGCCTCTCCCTCCGTGGGGACACTCATTTTGGATCTTTCTTCCAGGCAGACACAACTTTTCAGGAAACTCACAGGAAAACTGAGTCAAGCCCCTGGGGTTCTAAGGCTCTGTGAAACTTCACTGACCCCATTCAATACATTCAGACATAACAAGAGGGTTGGACCAACACCCACAGCCTCATTTCTCCGGGACAACACAACAACTTTGGAGATGCTGAACTACTTCAGTTCATGGGCTGCTGCCAAGTGGGAGTGAGGGGAGCACGTGCCCAGGCAGCCAGGAGTTTGCACCCCTGAATTTACAACCCTGGGAGCATCAGAGGTGAGAGAGCAACCAGCAGCAGCAAAGCCAAACCCAGGCCAGCCCCAAAGCAGAGATGCAGGTGCTGTGCTCCACAGGGGTGAGGTCCATCCCCTGGAGTCACAGGGAGACGTGGGGAAGAAGAAAGACCCTTCTGTGCTGGGAAAAAAAGCCTTTATCAGATAACATATCACAAGGGAAATTCCTCATTAAAAAAAAAGGATAAATCTCAACATCTTAAGGCCTCTCAGAAGCCCATGAGGTTTCACAGCAGCATAAACTGTGAGGACCTAGCTGAGGGGGGACTATTTTCCAGTCATGAGAGACATGACAATTTATGCCTGTTGCTTAGAAATGAACATTTTGGCAGCATTTTCCTTCTGCTTTCTTAGGATGTAACTTCCCCTTGCAGTGTTTGTCCACCACCTGTTTGCCATTCAAGGGGGAAGGTCACTAATGAAGATCATAAAATAATCTAATCTGGCACAACAACAGCCAAAGAAGAGGTTTGCCTGAATTAATAACCTTCTGCTCAGCAGGGCACACTCACCCTAGAAATCAGTTCTAAGCTCACAGTGGGTAATCTTCAGTGAACAGTTTATACACAGAAAGACTAAACAATGAGAATAACAAAGCAGGAAAAATAGTACTTAAAGAAGAGGAACTGATGCAATTTTGCATTAGTTCAGAATCTGTGAATAATGTTACTGAAAGTTTCAAGAGATCATTTAAAAGGCCACATTTTTCTCCCCCCAGATATTTTAAACTACTTACCAAGTCCTTTTCCTTCAGACTTTCAACTAACTGATCCATTTTGTATTGATCCTTACTTAATATTTCTACTTCATACAGACTGAAGTAAACACCCTGAAAACAGACTGTGGACAAAAAAAGAGAGAGTTTGATGTTGAAATACAGTGCTTCTTGCAGGAACTCTGCACAAGTAAGTCTCCTGTACCAGGAAGATGGGTGTGCAATTTGGTGGAAACACTGAGTTAAAAAAAATAACCTTATCAAGATTTCCTAGGCTGGTTCATGCATTTTTATCACAGTGAGTTTCCTCTTCAGGCTGTGGCTCACAGGGGATGTTTCTCATCTTATCTCTGCAGCTCACAAACTGAACCAGGGCTGTGGGCTTCAACAGGGACAGGGAGCCTCTCTGAGGGAAACTCCTCATTCTAACATGCCTTATTCCATACTCTGATCCCCAGAGGAATGAAGGAAAGGTAGGATCTCAGACTGAGCCTCTTGAGTTTCTCAGAAAAATTCTTCTGTTCAAGAATTTCCTCTTTCACCAGCTGATCTGAGGACTGTGGCTCCACAGCAGCTCATCCAAGTGTTGCTGTGGCTTCCTTAAATTCTCCTGCCTGCTCCCCTGCCCCAGTCCTGTGTCCATCTGCACCACGAGCTGAGTGCTAACTCCCACACCAGGCTGGATGGCAGCCTCAGCATATCTCAGCAGAGCTGACACACAGGTAGGAGAGGCAACACTGCACCACCTGACACTCCTTTTGGTGCAAGATGACATGGAAATGCACCTGGAGCTTCTGCAAATCACATCCAGAGCTCTCTGTGCGCAACTTCTCACAGAATCATTCCATGGTTTGGGTTGGAGGGGGCCTTCAAGGATATCTAGCTCCAACCCCCCTGCATGGGACACCTCCCACCTGACCAGGTCTCTCCAAGCTCCATCCAACACTCCAAGATGGGAGCCCAGGTCCCAGAACAGAGTCTCCCACTTTGTCCTGTCCCAGAAACAAGCTGATTTAAGGGCTGCTTTGGGAAGAGGATTAGATCACACCAGGAAACCACATGAACCGTGGACAGGAAAACATCCCTGTGCTGCCTTGACATTTTTCCTTTGTTAGATAGAGATTAAATACTAGGAGGAAATTCTGGGCTGTGAGGGTGGGGAGACCCTGGCCCAGGTTGCCCAGGGAAGCTGTGGCTGCTGGCACAGCAGCACAGCTGGCACACTCCCTGGCAGTGTTGAAGGGCAGGTTGGATGGGGCTTGGAGCAGCCTAGAATGGTGGGAGGTGTCCCTGCCCATGCAGGGGGGTTGGAACTGGATGATCTTTAAGGTCCCTTCCAACCCAAACTGCTGGATGAGAATGACTCCTTGCTTATCTGCAATCAGCCACCCTTCAAGGCAGGACCCAGCTCTACATGGACCTGAGCTCTTCCACCTGTGGCACCTCCCACAAGCACAAGCAGATGGGTTTTGCACTCACCTTCATTCTCAGTGTAATTTCTTTTCCCAAAAGCAGCTTCTGGGAGCTTTTTCTTCAAGTCAGACAAACCCATGACATGGTTGATGTCCAGGTTGGTAGGCCTGTGGGGATAAAGCAGCAGATGGTGAGATCACAAGCATAAAAGGCTCTCAGGATTAAGGACAGCAAAGAGTCCTGGATGCCCTGTCACTGTGAAACCAGAGAAAGCTCTGGAGAAGGCAGAAGGTGCAGCTCACTTAGCACTTGGTTGATTTGAGGATCCTGCTTGTTAACACCTCCAAACACTGACACTGGTGGCTGTCACTCACTAGCTGTTTCAAACTGCTGCCTGTTGGTTGGCTCCTGGCTACTGAAAATATTAAATATCTCTTTTTTGAATGCAAATTACCTCAAAACTTTATTTGCCATCAGGCTGACATGTAAACACAACTGGCTGATGGTACCTCCACCACCAGGAAACATCACTTCTCACAAGAAGAAAAATCCCAAGCAGGAATAAATTATTTAGGATAAACATCCCAAAGCAGTTAAAAAGAAACTACAAAGTGCAGCCACTTCCAGCTGCAGGTCAGGGCCTGACCTCATGTCCTCATCCAGCTGTTGCTGTGACACTGCACCACTGCCTGCACCACTCCTCTGACACTGGTGGTCACCCCAGCAGTGCAGGTGGCAGGTTGGCATAGATGGAAAAAGGGGTTGATGAATAAAGAGAAGGGGCAGAAGAGACAAAACTGGCTTTCACTGGCACACAGACACCCAGAAGTGTAGAGCTTCACCCTCCACCAACTGCACAGGAAGTAAAAAAGAAAGGGGCAACTTACAGCTGGGCTGGAATCGTGGAGCTGTATGGGGTCCTGAGGGCAATGTTGCAGAGGAGCTGGCCCTGGATGGAGAGCTGTCCCCTCCATGGACAGTACAGTGCTACAGGCAGAAGGGAGAACAGCTCAGAGAAAGCACAAGAGAGGAGGAGGGCAAACAGAGAAAAGAACATTTATTAAAAAAAAACCCCAAACACCAGATGCTCCTACCTTTGTGATTAAGCTCAGGTCTAGGGAAGAAACAAAAAAAAAAGGGGAGAAAAAGAGGAATATTTAGCAATGGGAAATGGAAAGACAGCTTACAAAAGTGACTGGGTGCTTTGGAATGACAGCAAGTTGCTTACAGGCTCTCTATGGCCAAGACAGGCATCTCCTTGGGCTCCCTGTACTGGCAGGCAATGACCATGTAGGGGCAGACCTGGCGGGGCCGCTGGGCAGCGCTGCCTCCTGACACCTCGTACACGTAGTACTGGGGAAGAGGGAGGAAAACAAGGGAGGTGAGGAACGAGCCAGGCACCCGGGCCAGCCCCGTGCTGCCCTGCAGCCTGCCCAGACCCACTGCAAACCCCATACCTGGCTCTGCTCGAAGGCCTGGAAGTGGCTGGTGTTGGAGGGTGCAGTTCCGCTCGGGGCGATGTGGCAGTCGTAGCCAGGAGAGGGGCAGGTGTAGCTGGTTGTGTAGTTCTCAGACACCACCTTGACCTTCCCCTGTGCCAGAAAAATGCACCCCAGAAACAAAAAACAAACACATGGTTGTTTGCAGAAACTTATTTTGAGACCTTCCCTGCAGTCCAGTTTTGGAGTCCTCAGAATGAGAAGGACATGGAGCTCTTGGAGAGAGGCCAGAGGAGGCCCCGGAGATGCTGGGAGGGCTGGAGCAGCTCTGCTCTGGAGACAGGCTGGGAGAGTTGGGGTGTTGAGCCTGGAGAAGAGAAGGCTCCAGGGAGACCTGAGAGCAGCTTCCAGTGCCTGAAGGGGCTCCAGGAAAGCTGGGGAGGGGCTTGGGACAAGGGCAGGGAGGGATGGGAGCAGGGGGATGGATTAAAACTGGAAGAGGGGAGATTTAGGTTGGACATGAGGAAGAAATTCTTCACAATGAAGGTGGGGAGACCCTAGCCCAGGTTGGCCAGAGAAGCTGTGGCTGCCCCATCCCTGGCAGTTTTGAAGGGCAGGTTGGATGGGGCTTGGAGCAACCTGGGATGGTGGGAGGTGTCCCTGCCCATGCAGGGGGGTTGGATCTAGATGATTTTTAAGGTCCCTTCCAACCTAAACCACACAGTTCTGTGATTTTAAAAGACCCTTGAATCCTTCTCTTCCCCAAAGACAGCATTGCTGGCAGCCCCACACTCCCCACCACTGTCAGGGCCTGTGTGCATTTGAGTCTTTCCAAACTTGAGGGCCTTATTCAGTCAAGTACAAGATATCAGACAAACCTGGGCTGCCCAAGAGAGCAAGAGGGAGCAGAGTGTTTTTACTGTCACCTACAGAGAGCAGGAGCCAGCTCCTGTAATTAAAAGTGCCCCAATGAGCTCTCAGCAGAGATGATTTTGCACCCCATCACAGTTCTGGGCACCCACATCTCCTTCATAAGTGCTTGCACTCTCTAGCAGCCTCATTCCACAGAAAAATACCCAAACACTTGTATTTTACCTTGATTAGCTTACAAATGACAATATAGCCTGATTTTCCATGATACCAGGGTCTTGGATGAAGACAGTCTGCATGCTTGGAAATATAAACCCCTGTGAAAACAAAGCAAGGCCAGGTAATGTGAATCACCTGTCAAGTAAAGCTGATTGACAAAAAAAAAAAGAAATCCCTGGCAAAAGGAGTTTCCTTGAGGAACTGGGACTCCCTGCAGAGCCAGAACTGCAAAGCAGAGCAGCACTTGCTGCCATAAAAAAGGTGAAACTCTGATTTATTTCCCTTTTTTTTTTTTGACTCCTGGAATGGAAGAGCATGATATGATTCAGGGTCAGCTCCAGGGAATGAGTTAGCCTGGGATTTTCCTGGGAGAGGTAGCCAGTTTTGCCCATGTGACATGAAAAAGTGCTGAGTGAGGGTTTGTCTCTTGCAGGAAGGTCTGGTGAAGGAGCTTCCAGGTCAGACTGCAAGTGGAGCAGGAACGTTGCTCCATCTGGAGTCACCCAAAGGCAACGTGGATCTTTCTATGTGGGGGACACACTCCAGGGGCACAAAAGCAGCCCCATGACCTGGCACAGACCCTCTCAGCCCCCCTTCCTTGTCTCTTATCAGCCCTTCAGTGACCCAGCTTGAATCTTCTACCCATTCTGACTTGGCTTATTCCCATCCCTTCTCTATGCTCAGGGCATATCAAAGGTGGACTTACTGGGGACTGGGTGGGGGTTAGCTCTTCAGACAGGTACATGGAGGGGGAAGAGGGACTGGGCAGGGGAAGAGCTACAAAAGACACACCATAATATTCATCTCAGTCCACCAGGACTAAGATGCACACCCTGATAAATAACTAGCTCTTGCTTGGGTTTTGCATTCAACTGCCATTGTCTGCTCAATAATTAGGTGTCTTGGCCTGCAAGGACTTGCAGGGTGAGTACTGGGAGATGTTCAGCTCCTGGCAGAAGGATTTCTTGGGAGTAATGTGTCCTGCACTGCAGGACTTGAGGTTCCCAGACCTTTGGGCAAGGAACAAGCACAGACTGAAAAGGGCTTCAACCTGTCATGATCTGCTCTGGTCATTAACAAGATTGCTGGCAAAAAAAGCTCAGCAAATGGGACTCTGAAGAGCCCAACTGGTGGGGAAAGGTGCCAGAAAGGCACTCTGGTGATAAAGGTTGTTATTAAACAAGGGAGAAAAAGCCCCAAAATGGAGAGATGAAGAGTCAATAACATTCCCTGGGGAAGATCCCACCTTCCTCTGGATGAGGGGACAGAAGGGGACACTGCTGCTTGCTTGATTCAAACAGAAGCAGTTACCCATGGAAGAAACACAGATCTGTGGATCTTTGCAGTAAATATCAAGGCAGTACCAGGAGTCTGTCTGGGCTTCTGCTTTTGTTTCTCAACAAAGGAAGAGTGAAGAGGTTCCTTGGACCTCTCACTAGAAACCTTACCTTTGGCTGGGTCACCAAGGGTGGAAATGGAGCTGCTGTTGACACGGAGACCTGTCTGACACAACTCTTTTGCCTTCAAAAGAAGAAACAGCCTCTTTTACCATCTATTTTCAAAGATAAGGGACAAAGCTACAGAAACCCGTAGCAGGACACTTGGCAAACACATGCTGTGAGGTAATTACAGGTGGTTACAGCCTCAAAACACCTGTGGTGTAAAGAAAACTAACCAGCAAGTGGACAGGAACAAGCACCAGAAAGGAAATGTGTTCTTTCAGCTACTAATCAAGTGGAAGCAAAAGCTGGAAAAGCCCAGCCTCTCCAGAAACCACTGCAAGAACAAGGTTGGACTTTGCACTTTTCTTTTATCTGCACAGGCAATTTGTGGAAAAATAAATGCAATGGGGCTGGCATGAATGAAAAGGATGTTTGCTCTTCTGTGCTCATTCCTCCACAGGCACCACTACTGCCTTGGGAACATCTCACCAGCTTTGATTTAATCCACCTCCAAAGCAGATTCATCAAATTGTGCAAAGACCCAATGCATGTTTGATCAAAGAGTGACAAGAGGAGCAGTCTGAAGTCATGATGGGTGAGAAATAAAAGCAAACCAGTCAAACTGTACTCAGGCCCTTTGTAAGCAACATGGGGCACTCATCTCACCTAACTGCTGTCTCCTAAAAGGCAAGTGTCTAGCTTAGACTCACCAGCTAGACTTCTCTGAACAACCAAGAGAGAAGTGATTTAGCCCCCAGGATTTTAGATGCCTGCATTAAACCAGGTCCAAATGTCCTCTGAAGACCCTCCTCTTTCCTTAGGGAATGAACAAGCTCAGTCACTTAGCATTGTCTGTGCTAAGTTTCCAACAGCTAAAATCAAGAGGGACAATTCCCACACCCAACCTGAGACTGGAAGTGGTTTATTTTGCTGTAGCTGGGTCCAAACTGGACAGAACTAAACTGCATTCAGGCCACATTTACCCTGAACAAAACCATTTCTGCCATTGTTTAGCATGGCATCATGAAATCACATTAAAAGTCAATTCTCACTAGATTCCTTGAGCATCCTCCTTGTGTGGACAAATTCTTCTCACAAAATCAAAAGCATTTGTGTGAAAAATGGGCAGGAATAACTATCTCCCAAGAGCTGTGTCACTTAGATGGCAAAACCAAGGGGACTTGCCCAAAACCACTGGATAAACTCCTGTCTCCTGTCACAAAGGTGATTTTCTCTTCTAAGCAGATGTGAAAGGTTTCATCTTGACCATAAATCCACTGGGACAAAGGGAAACTCCTGCTGTCTCCCTGCAGAGGGCAAAGGGGGCAGCAAAATCTCAAACAGCAATCAACTGGAGAGGGGCAAAACAAGATCCATTACTAAAACCTCCCAGGAGGTTCTTTCAGAACTTGCTCTGGATTATTTATGCAGTAATCAGTGCACTGGTAAGTGGGGTGCAGAGAGCCAGGACACTTCAGTCAACAGAGCTGCTGGGCTTTGGGGGGACAGAGCACATGTGCAGGCACTTGGTATCAAACTTCTTAAGCTGAATCAACATTTCAGGTTACCTCTTCCTCTTTATCAAACAGGAGAAATGCAAAAGTCTCTTCCAGCTCCTCCTGGCTGTATCCTGCTGCTTCTTTTGCTTGGGCAAATGCCTTGAGCTGCAGAAGACAAAACAACCCTTTGTTCTCATCTGTTTGTGCCAGAAGGGCTGAGAGCTACAGGTAGTGTGAGGGCAGCATGTCCCACCTACCTTCAGCCATGGTCAGGATGGGGCAGGTGATGCTGGACCAGCTCATATGCCCACACAACATTCCCTTCCCCCATCTCCCACCACAAGGACCCCGTGCATCTTCTGTCTCTGTCTCTGCCTCTGCCTCCAGCAGAACACATCCTGTGTCCTCCAAGAGACAGCAGGCACATCCAGCCCCACAGCATCACACTGTGCTCATCCCATTCCAGCCTTATCCCACCTTGCCACACTCTGTTGGCTACTGGGGAGCTTCTTTCACCAAGCAGCTTGTGGAGCATCACATTCAGTAGCCAATTATGGCCACCAGAAGGCAAACCAGCTCAGCCATGGAGAAGATGCCTGCTGAGGGGTAGATGCTTGGAGGCACCTCTCTTTTTTTGGTTGGACTTGATGATCTTGAAAGTCTTTTCCAACCAGAATGATACTGTAATGACACTGTACTTTTCTCTCCCCACTGACCAGGGAAACCAGGACTATTTGATTAAGAGGGCAGGTGCAATCCTGCACCTACAGCTCAGAGGGTCTGGCTACAACCAGGTAAACATTAGTCCAATTTTTTTGGTCTGATAATTAAAGCAGAGCATGTCCTCAGTGCAGATAGGGAGA